GAAGCTATCTTAGCCTTCTCCTCCAGATGACCGCAAAACTGGACGTCGCTAGATATATGGACGCCAAGAATCCCCAGACTCAACTTATTATCGAGGGAAGTGCCCTGAAAGTGAGGAGATACGACAAACGGCGTCTTTTTTGCGGTGAATGCAGTGTCTTTTTAAATTGGAGAAGATTTTGTTCACCCCAGATCGAAACTTGATGGAGTGAAGTTCCGATTTCAGACACAAGTCTATTCCGGCACTCATCGGTATGTGCCCGCGAGATCTTTGCGTGACAGGTATTTAATGCATCTCCTGTACTGTCGTCTGCATAGCAATAAATATTACTGATCTGTAACATATCATTGATATGCAGAAGAAACAGAGTCGGAGATAGTACACAGCCTTGCGGGACACCAGCATTCAAAGGTTTTAAATCGACTACGACCTTAATGCTACGTTCCTTTAGAAAACTGGCGACCCAAATGCACAGTCTCGCAGGCAACCCAAATGAAGGCAGCTTTGAAAGCAGCGCTCTATGCCACACCCAATCAAAATAGTTCGCAGGAAAGGCAAGCCGTGAGGTATTTTAATGAATAAATATGAAATTGTAACGCCGGCTCCGCTATTGCTATATACTCATGGAGCATTTGTGGGGATGAACCAGGCCCTCTAGACAAGTGGCAAGCGAATTCGTCGATGGAATCCAAATCGCTAGCGAGTCCATGAGATAGAATGAGATAGCAACGCCGGGTCACTAGAGTTGCCACTTGTCTAGAGCCCAGGGCCTCTAGACAAATGGCAAATGAATTCGTCGATGGTATCGACATCGCTAGCGAGTCCGTGAGTTGGAATGAGTCATCCGGCGTTGCATTGTCTCATTCTGTCTCACGGACTCGTTAGCGATGTCGATTCCATCGACGAATTCGCTTGTCACTTGTTTAGAGGGCCTGGTCAGTTAGCTCATCGTAACGAATTCAACGATAATTAACCGCGATGGTTTCTAGAGGCACCACGTGGTGGTCGACCTGACATGGTATGTTGCTAGTATTATTATAACAATCCCTGTCCCTATGAGGGGGTTTTATTCGATCTCTATGATACAATATGATAAAACTAAAGTGTGTCGCTGTCGGAATACAGTATACATTGGTGTATTTGTTTTTTGGTTTTTCAATTTATTTTAGTTTAATTAAAATATTTATTGTAGGCTTGTCCGAATAGGTAAGCCCAACTTTGACCGAGAAGTCAACCGACGAATTCAACTCGGTTTGGCACTGTTCGGAAAATTACGCCACATCTTTTCATCCAAAATACTTCAAAGTTTGAAGACGAAGGTCTTTAACCAGTGCGTGTTGCTAGTGATGACTTATGGAACCGAAACATGGTCCTATCGATAGAATCCGCAAAAGTAACCGACATAGCTCAAAGGATAAGCTGAAGTGGCAATGGGTTGGTCACATAGCTTGAAGAACCGGCAACCGATAGGGAAAAAGGGTTCTTGAGTGGCGATCCTGTACGGGCAAGCTAGCAAGCTACTGTCCAGCAGTGGACGGATAATGGCTGATGTAATGATGATGATATTATTTATTAGTTGTGGTATGATGTTTCTACCGTGAAGCAGTTGTGTTTGCATGGCTGTGTTTCGGTTTGAAGGGTGGGATATGGCGTGAATTTACTGGGTACAGAGGAATAACACCTGAGTCCTCAGGAATGGCAACGCATGGGCATGGTATCATGGGCGAAACAGTATACTCTGTTATGTCCATGGTACTGCTCATGTCTATAGGCGACGGTTACCACTTTCCATCAGGTGGGCCGTCAGCTTGTTTGTCATTCTAAGTTGGATAAAAAAAAAATATCTATCTTGGCTTCGCGTGACACCTCAAGCAGTCCTCCGTGATCTTACCACAATTATCACGTAGCAAGGTATTGCTACGTGATAATTGTGTTTCAATTATTTTTTAGTAGAACGTGTCTTTTTTTTAATAATAATAATATTTATTTATTCTGATTCGATACATATAGCACGATTCAAGTATACACATAGATCTTACACAATAAACTTAGTTGTTAAGCCATCACTTAACAACTAGAACATATTAAATCTTAAGATCAAACCAGAAAAATAAAAAAAGTACACTAGTTATTCTGTGAAACAAATAAGTGACAATAGCCACCTAGCAAAGTTAGTTGTAGTCTTTTTCAAAATAGACAGTACAAAATGAAACGTACCTACTTTGTAACACCAACGCCAAGTAATGTGAGGGTAGTTCAGGCAACGAAAATGTTTTATGATTATGAATATATTTTATGTTTATCGTACCTACTCATACAGACTCTGTTTTATATAATGTAAAGGTAATAATAGTATTTTTTAATTATATTTTCTTAATCTACAAAATATATGGATTAATTTAGAGTAATTGAAGCACCTGACAAGAAATTATTACATCATGGAAGATAGGCAATCATTATTCATAAGTATTTATAAAAATATTAATCCTGGGTGTAAAAAAGGTATTCATAATAAAATATATATATATACACATACATACACATAATACTTTGAGATAAGTTCAGTTTTAAGAACTTTTTGGTACTAGGCGCCGTTAGACTTTAGGGGAGTTCCCCTATTTATGGAATTTATTAGGTGGAGACGTTTTTAATCTTCTGTATACGTCCATATATCGTTTTCGATTGATATGGTCGCGGAATGTAATATTCACATTAGGATATTGTTTTTATAGAATCATACCTAAAGATACCAACTGATATACTTAATAATTTGATTAGATCTAGCAAACTAAGGCATTCCAAAGTAATTTTTCTAATTATGGACAGTGATATAGGCAGTATATATATGGCAGGATATGTAGGCATTTATATTCTTGCAATGCCGTAGGTGTTGTGGGTGACCATAGGCGGCGGTAGTCACTTACCATCAGGTGAGCCGCATGCTCGTTTGCCCCCTGTGTTGTAAAAAAAAAATGAATTAATGCCCATGGGTTGTAGTAATCACTTGGGTAACACCATGAGGTAACTGTATGTAAAAATAAAGGTGATTGTTTGAAGATCAAGCTAAAGGAGAGAGATTATAATCATTTATTATTAAATTAATTCAATTATCATCGTTGGGAATCGTCATTTTTTAATGAAAGGACAATGGAATGGTACCTCAGTTTGTACAAAAGTAATCTTTAATAATGGGGAGGTTAACCCACACTGCTAGCAATATATCCTTTCAAGTAATTTCCATATGGTTCCCCTGAGACCACCTTATTCGATTAATTCTCAAAGGATCTGTCATGATGGGAATACTGATCTGCTTTCATCTTTACCTATCATCCCTCACTGGTGACCTATCAGCGCATATCGATAGCGGCTGGGTTGATATTTTATTTTTACCCATCAAAAAAATACCCTGGCAGACAGTCACTGACTGGCAGAGAACAGGGTATGATGATGGTAGGTGAGGACAAAGTTAGGTTAGTTAGCCTATCGCGACGAATTCACCCCGATGGTTTCCAGAGGATGCACGGATGTAATGTCGTTCTGACAGGGTATATGAATAACAATGATTCTCCCCTCGCCACTTTCTTTAGTGATACATGGTGTTTTACACTATATTTATGAAAAAATTGTAACACAAACATAAATAATTGAATTTATTATTACAATGAAGGATGTTTTGACTGTAACTCACGTAATATTTTTTAATATGATAACAAAAGTTCAAAACCAATTAAGTGAAATTATAAGTTCGTAGAACTCATATAAAAAAAAAAATAGAAATACATTCGTATAAAGATGTTGCTTATAGGGTATATATATATATATATATATATATATATATATATATATATATATATATATATATATATATATATATATATATATATATATATATATATATATATATAGAGTACTTATATGAAAAACTAAAAAGAAATGTTAGGGAATAAATATTAATCATTTAGGTTAACAATTTATTCGTAAATGTTAATTGTTTTTAATATTATTTTACAATGTTATATTTTAAATTTATTTCGTGCCAGAAAACCAAGCAAAATTATATGAAAATATGTATTAAATTCAAATATATTTCGACTTCTCTTTTTATGTACGCATGTATGTATGTATATAGTGTACACTGATTGGACTCTATACAAATTTGAACATTTTTAAGATATTGTATTACAATATAATTGTTATATATGACATAATTTATATATTAATTATTTATTTAAGAATGAATTGCTCTCTTCACTTTCAGTTTTCCAAAACGTGTAGTGAGCCATAGCCTCATGTTACAAATAAAAACTTTTGACAACATTTAGAAAATCTATCCAAATTGTCATTAAAAATATCAATATGTGGCTGCCGAGCAATCAGGGAATTGAGCAGAGAAATAATGTTTATTTTTTTTTATACAAATTAAAACGGCAAACAAGCTGACGGCCCACCTGATGGAACGTGGTAACCGTCGCCTATAGACATGAGCAGTACCATAGACATAACAGAGTATATTGTTTCGCCCATGATAGCCCCCATGCGTTGCCATTCCTGAGGACTCAAGAGTTATTCCTCTGTACCCTGTAAATTCATGCCATATCCCACCCTTCAAACCGAAACAGAGATATGCAAACACAACTACTTCACGGTAGAAACACAAATGGAACAGAGATACCTAAGCAATCGACTTTTGTATAAAGTCTCCCTCTGGTAAAACGTAACGTGATTGATTAACATACTTCTTCTAAGCAATGTAAATCTCAAATTTATAAAACTCTCGCTAGACGCTAAAGATTTTAATTTCACCTTGTAGTTAATACATGCTATAGATATGTAATGTTAATTATTATTATTTTTATAACATAGGGCGCAAACGATTCACAGGGTATGGTACTACAAAAGCAGTAAAAGGTGCTAAAAAAATTTTTATATTACGAGTAATATAAAGATAATAACAAGTTCCCTGTAGAAAGATCGTCAATTTTATAAACAAATTATGCATGTTTAATTGATTGAAACAACATGGGTACATTTATTATATTCAGAGTCATATAATTGGGTTATTAATTCTATTCTTGTTGTGTAAATTACATATTTTAAGTACATAAATTTATACAACATCATTTTACTAATACATTTAAGTACACATTAAAAATTATGCTATTTTTATATCACAATAGTGGCCAACAAACATACGGGCCCACTGATGGAAACCTGAATACAGCTACAACACCAAGTTGCTAATTTACAGACGTACTTTTTAAACAATTGTAAAATTTGTATAAGTAATATGCTTATTCAGATCGTTTTTCTGTTTCCAACGGCGAGGAGTCGTTATCTTCATCAAAGTCTATGACAATAGTCCCGACTTTTGGTTTATATTGGCTGAAAAAAAAAAAAATAGACAATTATAATCCGTCTGTGAGCTAATATTTCTAACTAATTTTATAATAATATTTTCGACCTGATATACTTAAGTTACGTTGACCACTTGTAGGAATATCCAGGGCCGGATTTACTATGTCGGGCACGTGTTAATCATAAAAAAAAACTACTATATTATTTTACATATAATAACTTGAAATATATTGATATATGATAGTGTTATATAGAAGCAAAAAAAAAAACAAAGAAATAATATTTTAGTTAATAGTATGTTAGTCACAAATCTTAAAATGTAATTTTTAATTAAAGAAATATTATCGATTAAAAAGTTTGCAGTGCAGAGCTGTTAGTCGATTGGGGCGCCAAGGTAGGTGCCTGCGCTGCCTAATAGAAAATCCGGCCTTAGGTACACCTAAATACTGACAATCACCCAAGGAAAAGACCAGTGAAATGATTAAGTAAATATTAGATTTAATCAAATTGATAGATTATTTATAATTACTATATAGATAGCGTTCTAATTAAAATTATCTAGTGATAATTAAATGATTTGTTGAAAGTTTATTTTTCTAAAGAGTTATTAATATTTATAATAATTTATAACAACCTATTAATATAATTAATGCGAAAGTTTGTAACAATGGATGGATGGATGATTATTTCTTATTTTTTTCATGCAAAAACTATTTAACGGATTTGCATGAAATTTGGTACATGGATAGGTCACATCCTAACTTAAGACAGGATATTTTATGTACTTAATGATTCACACGGACAAAGCTGTGGAAACTTGCTTGTAATATTATGAAAAGAAAAGATTTGATATTTTGTATGTTTTTTTTTTGTAATGGATAAACTCAAACAATACTAAACAGATTTTAAAAATTCTTTCACTTTTACAAAGCGACATTAACAGCGAGTAATATACAAAAAAAAAAAATATAGTAATATATAAAAAATTAGAGACGCTTAAAAAATTACAATAACCTAATTCCAAGCATTAAAAAATTGCTTATTATAGCTAATATGAAACACTTATATTTCAACCCGCGCGAAGTCGGGGTAGATATTTGTATAGATATTTGTCTCTATAGTGTATCGCTCTAATAATAATAATAAATATTTTTTATTCAAGTAAAGTTAATAACAGCCGTGTGGTTCTGTCATAGAATACGAGTAGGCCATCCTTTCCTTTCCTGTGAGTATTCTAAGTAAGGGAGGGCGAGGGATGGGCAGCAGTGTCTCTCTTAAAACATCTCTAAACGCCTAACTGCGGTTGCCAACCTGCCTATCAAGCGTTGCAACTACTCTGCAAGACTCCCCTTATGGGGGGATTTCGAATAATATTCATAGCTTTTCCATAAAATTTATATTTAAATCTCACGATATCTCTCACCAAATAGGCTGGTTGTAAAAATCTTATTAAAATAAAATTGCAAATTGCAAATGTGTAAGCACAAACACGAGCATAATGCGGTTGCATGAAAGTTACGTCTATAATCGCTTGTAACATATATAAAGTTTCGGCTTAAACCTGAGAGCCATGAAGCCTGTGAAAGTATACAAAATTGCTTCTTGAAAGTAGATAGGTGGTTGATAGTTTAAAATGCATTTATTATTAGCATTACCAAAGCTAAACTGCGGTTGCCAATCCGCCTGCTAAGTGTGGCAACTATTAGAAAACCCACTAAGGGAGAATTTTATGTTTAACAGTGGACAGTTAAAGGCTGATATGCTGCAACTTAATAACCATTTTTGAATAGTAATTTTTTATAAATCTACCGTCCAATTTGGTATGCAATTTCACCTGAGAAGAATTAGCAAGAAACATATCTGTTTATAATTGGGAAAAAAAAAAAAAAAATTAATAGTGTATAATTGGTGATGCCGGAAATAAAGTTAGGGGAGTATAAGTTATTAATTATGTTTTGGATTTTTTTTTTATCTAAAGAGAGATATACTTACAGAATAACATCATAGAAATTTTATAAAAATCGTTTCAGCAGTTTTTTAAATGGGACATAATCTTTATTTTTTTTTATACAACTTAGAATGGCAAACAAGCTGACGGTCTACCTGATGGAAAGTAATAACCGTCGCCTATAGACATGAGTAGTAGCATGGACGTAACAGAGTATACTGTTTCGCCCATGATACCCCCCATGCGTTGCTATTCCTGAGGACTCAGGTGTTTTTCCTCTGTACCCAGTAAATTCACGTCACATCCCACCCTTTAAACCGAAACACATCTATGCAAACACAACTGCTTCACAGAAGGAACACGAATGGGACAGAGGTACCCAAGCAATTGACTTTTGTACAAAATTTCCCTCTGGTAAGTCTTTGACTGTGTAATGTATGGCTACTGCAACTGTTATGTAGTGTGAAATTATTTAAATTTGGCTATGACATGGTTGGAGGCCTTGAGTAAGTTATGCTCACTAAAATGTTCAGACAGATGTTGGCATGGTAGGCTGGGTTCGCTACAACAGCGCAATGATGGCTGGCTCACCCGTCATCCTTGTGTACGGGTGCTGCCTGTAGGGACTGGTCTGATATGGTCATTGCAATCGATTTATTTCTACGATCAATACGATACTGCATAGTAGTTTGTATTCACACAAATTCATTATTTATATGGTTAAACTTTTTGAAAAAAGTAACAGCTAAGTTTCTTGCCTTAGATTGCGTTCCAAATGGGAATGGTAATGAAAAAATGCTTAAATCTAAGTTTACTTGAATAAAAATATTTCTTTTTTCCTCTTTCTTAACCAAGATGGTTTCCAAGGGAAACCGTATGGAGGTGGACCTGATAGACTACATTGTAAGCAATGGGGCTATTAATTCCCTATTATTAACAAACCCATCCCCCTCCCCACCTTACATAGTTTTTTTTTATGAGTGAAAATGGTATGGTAACCCCGCCTGCGCTAACGGGATACGCTGGCGGAGCACCAGTGAAGGGTGATAGATGAGAATGAAAACAGGCCAGTTAGCCCATCATGATAAATTCATCAGGAATTAACCATGATAGTTTCCAGGGGGAACCGCGAGGAGGTCGACCTGGTTGGCTATATTGCTAGCAATGGGATTCTCAGTCTCCATTACTAACAATCCCTTTCCCCCCTCCACCTTACATAGTTGAAGAATTATGTTTTAATGAAATAATTTCCAATACTACATGAATGAACTCGCAAGAATGGGGAGTTAAAAAAATACATACGTGCAAATAACGCCCGCATCCTTCAACATTTGCCTGGATGCTTTGTACTCGACTTTTTTGGCTTTCTTGTCGGAGACATACACCACCTCTTTAATGCCAGATTGAATGATGATCTTCGCGCATTCATTGCATGGGAACAATTTCACATAGATAGTGCAACCCCACACATCTGATGAGTTTTTGTTAAGTATTGCATTCATTTCTGCATGGCATACTGGAAATAAAGGGGTTATTATTTTTCAAAAGACTTCAAAAATAACGTTTTTATTTCGGTTGAATGTTTTTCTGTTTGTCATCTCATAAGTCCATCAATTATAACCGATTTGGAAAATTCTTTTTTTATCCAAAAGGACATATTTACAGAAATTTTATCAAAATTAGTTCAGTAATTTAGTTTTTTAATGAAAATTATTGGTTCTGTTACAATTGAAGTCATTTATTTTTTGTAGAATAATCTTTATTTATTAACATATCTCTAAACTCTTGCAAAATATTTTAAATGTAAAAGTAAGTTTGCTTATTTATAACATATTTGTCAAAATATACTTTTTTTTAATGTTTGGTTAAAAAATTGGCATACATTTGTAAACACTCATTTTTACTTTAGATGATCTTTTTCAAAACATACCATACAATTTCTTTTTCCCTTTTTCCCATGGGTAAATATCGTCACTGCATCCTCTCGGCATACCATTGTATCTGTGGATATGAATTAAAATTTATTGAATTTAAATTATAAATTTAAGTGCTAACACCACATGTTAAATATTTATTACATCATGTAATGTTAGCACACTAGGTTTATAACATTGGCTTTTGCTATTATAATGTTGTAATTATTTTTAATGAATAAATAAATAATTAATTAGGGCCAAACTTTGTTATTATTTTGTATGTATTTTTATTATTATTTGGTACATTTAATTTCTGTGTATTATTTTTACTTTATATTACTATTTTAAAGTAAATATTTATGGTTAATAACTTTTGTCATATTACATGATATCCGATAAAAAATATTTGTTTTTATAATTCTCTACAAATAAGTTCATGAGCAATCTGTATCTAATATTACTCATATTTAAAGAAAAAATTTGTTTAATTTATTTATCTATAAATTATTATTATAGATCTTTTTTAAATGCAAGAAACTGAAATGGAAATTTTGCCTTTACGATAGAGCAATGCTAATTTCTAGGAGCGTTACATGGAGGTCAACCTTTCAAAGTATATTACTAGTAATAAGATCACTAGCCACCATTAACAATTTTCTCTCCTGATGGTAAGTACGGGAACCTGAAAAGGAGTAAACAGGTCTCTTTAAGGTTGACAATAGAGGTGTAATGCACCTGGCAAGGGGGAAAGGGATTGTTAGTAATGGGGTCTGATTTTCCTATAACTACCAATATACCCTATCAGGTCGACTTCCGCGCGGTTCCCCCTGGAAACTATCGTGATTAATTCTGGTGGAATTCATCACGATTGGCTAACTGACCTGCTTTTTCATCATCACCTATCATCCGTCACTGGTGCCTCGCCAGCGTATATCGGTAGCGCGAGCGGGGCTACCATTCCATTATTACTTAAAAAAATAAAAATGCACCTGGCATTGTACTTATCACTTACCGTCAGGTGTTACATATACTTGTTTACTAATAATAAAATATTAGTTAAATACCAAGGTTTATAAAAATTTCTTACCCAACACCAACTATTCTCATGTCCTGATTGACAATGCATGCACCCACTTGAAAATGTGGATCTTTGCTTCGTTTGGCTGCTAAGAATGCTACTGCCATAAAGTAGTCAGTCCATCCTATGTAGTCCTCTCTCTTTTTCTGAATCTGCTCTGTGTTATCACTGTAATTTTAATTATGTTGGTATTATTACTTTGTATTCATAATGTTACTGAATGTGAAACTTTTTAAAACCTTTGTAAGTGTGAAAATAAATCACATTAATCGAGTTAAATTATGGTTAACAGACTTAATATAATAACCTCCGTAGTGTTGTGACATGTATGTTGTTTTATGTAATTTTTTTTTTATACCACTGAGGCGGCAAACAAGCATACGGTCCACCTGATGGTAAGCGGTTACTGTAGCCTATGAACGCCTGCAATACCGAGGTATTACGCGCGCGTTGCCGACTCTGAAGAAACCTCTTTACCCCCCCTTTTGAAGAACCCCATGCTGTAGTCTCAAGGGTTCAATTCCTGATCAGGCCAATTTTGGCAATGAAAATAGCTGTGCCACCACACTTTTGTAGCCTGGTTCTTCATAACACATGATACTTTAGCTTGAGGACAGGTGATTGGTATGATTACATGGGATACTCTCTGATAGAGGTCATTATCCTAGAATAACATATATATGACACAAATTTATGGTATGCTAACAAAGGAATCTGTGATTCAAGTGTACGTTGAATCGTTGAAAAGTTTAAAGGTGAATTTTCTTGTTTACTTCATACTTAAATAAGAAAGGAAATGGAACACTTTTATTAGAGTATAACCTTTACAAAAGTTTTTATGATTTCAACTTACTTTTGTATAGACATATTGGCTAAACTTTCAGACAGATTCATATTATATTATTGTAAATGTTTACAAAACTTGGATTTATTATTACATAAAAATAAAAAAATTAGTGGAGTTAAATAAGCGTGTACATTACAATGTTTTATTCATACGGTATGGTAACTTTCAAACGCTTTTTGATGTGGCCATCATAGATCAATATAATTATAAAAAATAGTATATTTAAATTCATAAATTTTTATCAATTAAATAGTTATTTTTCGTTGCTTGTACTATATTAATTATACCATTTTGTAATTAATTAAGAAACTTTTATTTTGATGACATTTGGTTGATTGAGAATATTTGACAAGCAACTGATAGGACTGACAGCGAGAAAAAAAGAGATAGATGTCGCCTTTTTTTCTAAGCTTTTTCCTAGTTTTACTAGTTTGGAAACAAGACTTTTAAGCCTTTTTAAAAGTATTTTTTTTTAATTAATGTTATTCTTATAATTCATAAATGTTGTATCGGAATTTATGCAATGATTTTATTAAAGTATGAAAGTAGATAATAGATGATCTTCTTCTAATATTTAGGAAGGATAGAAATCATATTCAATCCGGAAATTTCAAAAATAAAAAAAGTATTTCACTCTTTAAAAAGGTATCTAATTTCAATTTTGCGTATAATTTATTAACCTCAATTTTGTTTTGTTTAAACCTAAAGGAATATTGTAACGAGATTTTAAAAATTAATAAAGAAATTATTAAAGAAATCCTTTTACTTGTTCAGCCTGTATACCTTATCATTTTCGTTATAACTTGATTTATATTAAAAGTGAATGTACAACCAAGTTTAAGAAATAAGTATAAAAAGCTAATTTTATCAGAAAACAACATAGGTTGTATTTTATATATCTACCTGTGTGAATAATCATCTACGCGTACACAATTTATTTTTGGTGAACTTTGCTATTTTCCTCTACCCAAGAACCTATCTATATTTATATTCATAGACAATTTGGTGTTCATCAGTCATTCTGTGATATTTATTGTAATTAGAATTTAAGATTGGAATGATAGGTATCATTACCATTGTAGTGGCGGGTGGAGGGTAGTCGATCATTACCATTACAAAGACTGTCAGTTATGGTAATGAGTGTGAATCGCTTCGTCGTGTCTCCCTCCGACATTTCCACTTCGTTGAGTGTTTTTTAATATTTTCTTCACTGGTACATTTTAATAATAATGACAATAGTCTTTAAAAACTACAACACAGCATAAATGATTTTTTTTATATTTCACTATACATTATGTTATTCGTTAGTTTATTTGTGGGTTTTAAATAAAGTTAAACTAATCGATTTAATTTCAAAGTAACCGTTTTTTGTAGGCGTCGCTAATCAATTTTCATTTTTGATACGATGGATCTAAGTTCATCTTCACTTATTTATGGGGAAGAGTAGTTGTTATTTTATCTTAAAGTAGTTGGATCCTAAGCAAAATTAGACACGAAATATAAATTGATTATTTTGTAATAATTGTATAATTGTAAAAAAGACAATAAGAGGCAAAATTTCTAAATTGGTGGTTTTTATTATTATATATGAATGTAAAGTAACAGATATTTTGTTCTTATGTTATTATTGTAACAGTTAAATTACTGTGCCATGTTTCATTATCATTACGAGAAAGCCGCTATCATGTAATAATCATAAGGAAGATGAGTTTGACCCTTGCATCTGAGTGGTACAGCGCTTAGTGTGCAAAACCCGGTCGTTTACATGACAAAGCCTCGTTCGGAGCAGTTAGAACATGATTATCTGTGTCCACGGGACTACTACTGGTGACTTCACTACGATTTAATGGCAAATAACAGAAAAAAAAAGAATTAGAAGTGATGCAGTAAACTTTTAATTTGACTATTGAATTTATAAAAAGTGTAGTTAAGAAGATAGTGCGTTTAATCTAGAAATACATAATCAATGATTTAAAATGAGTTAAAAGTGAGTTAACATGGTTATTAATTTGTTAATAGGTGAAGGCGGTAAATAGATATGATATATATGTATGTATGATAGTGTTACTTTGCTGTTTTGAATTTTTCTTAGAGCGACAAATTTTCTATATCTTTTTTTTTAATGGGTAACAATAAAATGGTAACCCCGCCTGCGCTATCGGTATATACTGGCGGGGCAATACTGAAAAATTTTAGGTCAGTATGAAATCAGAACAGTTGGTTCTTCAAATTTGATAATAATTAAGCACGATTGTTTTCAGGGAGAACCGCGTGGAGGTATATTGCTAGCAATGGGGCTGTTAGAACACATTACTAACAATCCTTTCCATCTCAATTTGCTATATCGAGTAGCTGTACCTGACATAGCTGTGTATTTAATTATTTGTTTATACATAAACAGGCATTTTGGAAAGTTAGGGGGTTAAAAAGTCCACTTTACACGAATCATAATAGGATTTGAATTACATAACCCGCTGAGTTTAATAGGTCTCTTACATTAAGGTACGAGCAGTAGTAAATATGAGTTCATTATGTTTGTATGTAATTTATTATATTACATTAAAATACAAATTATTATTTATTATTTAAACCGCCATTGAGTGTCTCTGCGCATCCTAAAGGTTGACTGGTGCACAATACTTATATTTTTTTTTTATAACACTTAGAATGGCAAACAAGCTGACGGCCCACCTGATGGAAAGTGGTAACCGTCGCCTATAGACATGAGCAGTACCATGAACATAACAGTACACACACATACTATTTCGCCCATGATACCCCCCATGGGTTGCCATTCCTGAGGACTCAGGTGTTATTCCTCTGTACCCTGTAAATTCACGCCATATCTCACCCTTCGAACTGAAACACAGCCATGCAAACAACTGCTTCACGGTTGAAACACGAATGGGACAGAGGTACCCAAGCAATCGACTTTTGTACAAAGTCTCCACATACTGATAAATAGCAGAATTTTTCATCTGTTACACCTACAGTATTATTCTTATTTCAATTATACAAAGAGAGAGTAATAGAAAATATTATCTGGTATAGCATTAAGTCCACCGTTTGTACCTTTCATTTTATTAGTCAATAAAGTTTAAATAAATAAATAAAATATTCTGAGGACTTAATATTAATGTACTAGTACTATTCATGTCCGAAGGTTATACAAAGCAAATTTTAGTATGGTTCGTGTACAACAGGCTTTCAAACACACTGATATTTAAATTGGTTTCCAAGAGTATCCATTTTCTAATAATTATCTATGCAATGTAAAATATATTAATTACCCTCCATTCTGTCATATAAAAAGCCATATTTTATTTTTTTTATACCATAGACTGCCATAAGGTATGGTCCTGAACCATCTGCATCCACTGACTTTCTGCAATGCACCCGAGATCGTCACTCTATCTAGGAGAAGGGGGGAGGTAGATATCGTGTCTAACACTGTGTTTTCCCCTACCGGGTCGCCACTCGAAAACCTTTCTTTCCCTGTCGTTTACATCTTATTATCAAATTTGATTTATTACGCATGACTTTTTTTCAGCAGTGACGTCTAGAACGAGTGAGAACGTATAGTACGGCAGTGGAGCGAGGGGTAATGATCCGGCGGAGTTTATGTTAAACTGGGGTTTAATGTCGCGGAATACTGTTTAGTACAGCCGCACTTGATATGCCGAAATAATGTGCTTGAAGGTCAAATGTTTTTAATTTCACTCCCAAACCGTTGCCCTTAATGCTGAGAACTCTTTTTGTTGTTTTATTGTTGATCACAATTGCATTAATTATGATCTTGGCCTTGACGATGTATCGGTATTTATTGGTCTACGTGTTTCGCCCATTAGGTATGATGAGCTATCTAATTCTTCTCGTTCTGCTAATTCTATGTCTATATGTTGGTTATATATTTATACATTAGATGTTTTTAACACCATATGATCTCTTTCGATTTTGTATATAACTAATAATATATTTCTAAAATTATATATTTAGTTAGTATGATGATGACTAAATGAATTTTACCAGAGGGAGACTTTGTACAAAGTCAATTGCTTGGGTACCTCTGTCCCATTCGTGTTTCAACCGTGAAGCAGTTGTGTTTGCATGGCTATGTTTCGGTTTGAAGGGTGGGATATGGCGTGAATTTACTGGGTACAGAGGAATAACACCTGAGTCCTCAGGAATGGCAACGCACGGGAGGTATCATGGGCGAAACAGTATACTCTGTTATATTCATGGTACTGCTCATGTCTATAGGCGACGGTTACCACTTTCCATCAGGTGGGCCGTCAGCTTGTATGCAAATTCTAAGTTGTATAAAAAAAAGATAAAATCGTGGCTTATATTACAAATGTGAATGCGAGTTAATTTTTTATTCGTTTGTCTGTTATCTCTTAACGTCGTAACTTAATTAAACGCTATGAATTTTAGTGTACACGGGCAACGCTAGACGGTTCGAACCTTGGCTCAGGCCATTGTATCTCGATCGCCACCTGAAGGGACAGGGGTTCGTTTCGGACCGGGCCAGTTCTCGCGAGGTGCATGAATTTTATTGTTTTCCAATCACAGGGATCAATTCTGAGGCGCTGTTTCTCTAAATTTAGATGTTAAATTAAAATTTTAATTCAATATAATATCGAAATATTTATTCTAAAGGCCAATATGAAGTAAATAGTAATTTCGCGAAATTATCAAATTAAAACATAGATACATTTAGAGAAACAACGCTACAGTCAACCACACAATTACTACAAGGTATGGTGAAGCCTGTTGTAGGGAAGCAATGCAAATAAATAGCAAAAGTATTTTAAACGTAGGTAACAAAACGAAAAATTTACAAGCACTACGAAATTATTGTAGGAAATTGTCAACTGAATGAAATTACAAGTGAAATTGCAAAACGGAATTACCAGAATGGTCATTTTAGATCTTTTGCAATACAGAAGAACAAAAATGTGAAGAGAGGGAGTATAAAGGTTAAACAATATGAAGCGCATACAAAAAACATCATTACATACTGAACAAAGAACAACGATTCGTGAAACACGAAATCTTTTTATTCACAAAAGCTTCGTATTTTTTTTTTACGGAACGATAAAATAATAATTAGATTATTCAGGGTTCCGTAAAGCTTGTATTAAGGCTGAAAAATAGCGGATTTATACGTTAAATTGAATAATTTGCGGCCGAGAAGGATATAGTAAATGAGATTGTGGATAAGCCTGATTGCTTTTAGAAAAATGGCGGATTATATGTGAAAACAAAGGCCCGAAGTGAATTGTAATTCGCCGAGTTGAGCAATTTGTTGCCTTGATCAGGATTAAATGCCTAAGTTTTTTTTTTATAATACAGGGG